AGTGAGTCTTTGGCACATGATGGAATCATTAAGACCATAGTATTAAATCTCTAAAGAACAGAAATAGAGGGAGGTCTCTTAGGTAAAATAAGTGAATTTGTCATTTAGACAAATTAAGACAGAGATTCTCTTCATGAGGATTTAACAAAAGAACTTTTTTACCTTTCAAGATTTTCTTTTGAAGTTTTACATAACAATAAAAATGCTAATCATTGAATATCTAAAATTATATTTCTTTCTTTATTCTTAAAGTATTTTGTGTGAATATTATAGTCATGTTAAAAGTACTCCAAGTACTGTATTTGTCCTTAATGAAAGCATGCCTTTTATAAAAATAAATACAAGACCAAACAAACAAGATAAATACAAGACCATCCACAAGTAGTTCATTATTTGATGAATTCATTGTCTAAACATAAAAATTGAATTCTCAACATTGAACCCTAAAAATTATCAGTCAGAACGAATAAAGAAGAAATCTCATTCCAATCCAGCTCCTCAAATAAACTAAATGGTTTATAGACTAATAAAAAAAAGCTTAGAAACATAAGTTTAGCCAATTGGAAGATAAGATGCTTATTAGAATCAAATAAATACCCTAGCAGCTCTTCACCAAAGGAAAAAAATTAGCACATATCTGATCAAATAACCAAAATGCCCCAAGAACCTGACGTTTTGACAAAGAAAATAACTTTGAGATCTCAACCAATAAATATCATAATTCAAAGTAAGTGAACTTATCACCATAGAGAAATGCTCTGTATTAGTTACTTTTCTGTTGCTGTGGCAAAACGCCATGACCAAATGGAATTTGAGGAATAAAGGTGTTTTTGGGTTTTTTTTTCCTTTGGTTTTGGTTTTTTTAGCGTACAGTTATAGAAGCTAGAGTCTGTAAGGTCAAGAAAGGCCATCACACTTCCATCCACCCACAGGAAACAAAGAAAATAGGAAAAGGACGTGGTTATAAACCCTCAAAGCTGGCCCCAGTGATTCCTTCCAGCAAGGCTGAACCTCTGAAAAGGTTGTCCCAAACACACTACCAACTATGAATCCTATGTATATAAGGCAATGAGGAGACATTTAGATTCAAACCACTATATTCCCTGAGCAGAGAGGCCAAGAGAATTCAGTGCCGTGCAGCATAACCAAGGAGAGAACCTTAGTGACAAGGCTTCTACCTAAATCCTTGCTTTTACTATATTGCATTTATTTATTTGTGTTATGTGTGTGTTTGGGGTAGACACATTAACTATATTAGCTAATACAGCTATATGACAAAGGTCTCATAGAGCTAATTTCTAGTGACTGAGGATGATGATCAGCCTGCCTTTAGGCACCACCATACCTGGCATAAAGCTCTTGTACTTAGTGCTTCATAGTTGCCTTCAAATCAAAAATCATCTTTATACCAAAATAGCATATTTTGAGATGACATATTTCTCTACTGTACTATAAAATCTCAGCAATATCTCAAAAGGAAGCAGCTACAACAGTGTATATACATGATTTTAAGGACTAGAGTTGGTTATCAGCTGGTTCTCAAGGAGATGGTAGTAAAGACAGTCCAGGAAAAGACAAGTAAAAAAAATTGTAAAGCTGGTTGGCTTGCTGGAACAAACTTTCTCACCTTTTTAGCCCGCTTGGAGCTACAATTAAATAGCTTTGTCCATGATCCTATGTCAGAGTATAGAGATCTAAATATTTGTATTAAAACTATCACCTATGGGGTTACAGAGATGGCTCAGCAGTTAAGAGCACTAGCTGCTCTTCTAGAGGTCTTGAGTTCAATTCCCAGCACCCACATGGTGGCTCACAGCCTCTATAGTGGGACCTGATGTCCTCTTCTGAGATCAAGGTGTACATATAGAGAAGCTTTCAAATACATAAAGTAAATGAATAAATCTTTAAAAAAAGAAAGAAAGAAACTATCACTTATGATAGTTTGAGTTGCACACTATGGTTTGTATGGTTTAACTATTACACAGGCAATAGCATGGTATGGCAAGTTCATGTTTCTACTTCATTCCTCAGAAGGAAAGTTTATTAGCAAGGCACCCACTTGTAAGGCTTTACAAAAACTCAGATAGAATACCCAGAACTGGGAACTTAGGCTGTTGATATGAAATTGTGGAGATGTTGGTAGCATACTGGATGAAAATGAGATAAAACAGAATGGAACCAGGTATGGTGATACACATCCCAGCACTCGAGAGCAAGGACAGTCAGATATAGCCCAGTTCACATAGCAAGTTTCCAGCTGGACTACATAGTGAGACTCTGTCTCAAAAAAAAAAAAAAAAAGAAAGAAAGGAGGGAGGGAAAGGGTAGAAAAAAGGTTTTAGGCCGGGAGGTGGTGGCGCACGCCTTTAATCCCAACACTCGGGAGGCAGAGGCAGGCGGATCTCTGTGAATTCGAGACCAGCCTGGTCTACAAGAGCTAGTTCCAGGACAGGCTCCAAAACCACAGAGAAACCCTGTCTCGAAAAAAAAAAAGGTTTTAATCATTATTGAGGCCTTTGGGAAGAGAGTAAACCACAAAGGGAAAAATCAACATCCAAGAAAGTTGAGTATTGAAAAGCTAAGAAGTTAGTAGCATCATTGATGATACCAAAAACCAGAAATTGTAATTTGAAGTGATGGGTAGGAAAGAGATAGTAAGATATTTTGTTTTATTTTGCATTTTTCATCTTCTATACTTATTACTAATTGTAATAAGTTTTAAGCACCATTCCAGACATGGCTGGAAATATAACAGAAAATTGGATTAAATTGCAAAAAGGAAAATTGTGGATTTATTCTCATATATTTAGCTTTCCATTTAATTCTCTATGCTTCTTTTAAAATACTTTAAATAAACTATAAGTCTACCCCCCCTCATTTAACCAGCTATTATTTCATTATGTCAATTTTACAAACTTCTGATTCTCTAGTTATCTCTAACTATCCTCTTATTTCTGGAACTGTTTGTAAAAATATAACAAAGGCAAAAAAATCATAATACCAGTAATAATAATATAAGCATGCAGTTTTCTTTTTAAAGCAACTTGCATGACTGGCAGTTAGTCTGACTTACGGAATTATAAGTACAGTGCTTTTGCTAGTTGAGATCAGGTAACTTGTCTATATCAGCACTATCGTAGCAGTTTCCAGTCCCTGCCAGTGACTCGGTGTAGGCATGGGCTACAGTATCCTATGGCTTATGATAAAGGTAAACTTGTACATTGTTTAAGGGAAGGCTTCCAAGTAACATGGCAGAGCATCTTTTTCCAGCCTCTTTATAAAAGGATTGTTTCAAAGCCACTATTTTTTAACATAAAGTCAAAGCTCTGGGTACATGATATCACTAGTGAATAAAAAGGAAAATTAAAGGGAAACTGGTTATTGCCCTGGGGGTCCCACACTAACAAAGTATCTGAGATGCTGGACTTGCTGTCTGCCTCCTTCTCAGTCTTCTACCAAGCAGTGCTTGGGTCTGACGTTGCAGATCAATACTATAGCTCATAGGGCCCTGAGTATGGGCCTCAGTTCCTTAAAAGTAAAACACTCATTTTAACTTTATAATACTTTTGAGGCTGAAATATAGCTCTCTCTCTTTTAACTTTATTTATTGTTATTGGGGATGTTTGAGTTGCATGCATGCCAGAGTGCATTTGTGAAGGTAAAAGCACCGCTGCATATAGTTATTTCCCTTCTCTACATGTAAGTAAATTCCAGGGATCAAAATCAGCTATCAAACTTGGGCCAAGTACCTTTACCACTTACAAGTAATCTTCAGTTTGAGTGTTGCGGGTTAAAGGTTCCTTTCTTGAATATTTTGTAAACATAATGTCTGTGTTCACACTATAAACAAGAATGGTGTGAGCTAGCTAGCCCCTGGGAGTAACAATATGATAACCAAAGAGAAATTAGATATTCTTATCATTGAGGAAAGAAAATCACATTTATTGAGTCATTAATGACATGTTGCATTACTATTGTTAATAATACTCTATAGTAATGATGTAATATAGTATTGGTAATATACTGATATTAATGATATATAATCAATAATATAATAAATCACATTTATCTGCACAAACTGTTACTTAAATTCTGACAAGTACATTACAGGGTAGCTATAATAAAATCATTTTATAAATGAGTTTGAGTAATTTGCTTTTAATGTAAATTCAAAGGTGTTCCTACTGTACTGACTAAGCTGATTACTTATTGAAACAGCCTAAAAAAAGTAAATTTTCCTGATGGACACTCCTGGTAGATATTAACTCAGAGAAATGGAATTGTGGGTGGATGTAGTTAAATATTCCTTGTTTAAGTTTGTATCTTGGACACAAAATAGCTGTTCCTTTCAAAGAAGTTTTTCTTTAATACTGTTGATTCCACTTCAGAAAATATACCAGAAAGCTTGAAAGAGAAAAAGTAAAAAGTTGTTCTCTTCAGACTTGAGAATATCAGATATTCTCATTGTCAGGTAAATTGGAAGAGGGCTGGAAAGCTGGCTCAGTGGCTAAGAGCGCTAGCTGCTCTTCCTGAGGACTCGTTTGACTCCCAGCACCCACACAGCAGCTCACAAACATCGCTAAGTCCAATTCCAGGGAATCCAGTGCTCTCTTCTGGCCTCAGTAGGCACCAAGAACATGATGGTGCATAGACATACATGCAAACAAAGCACCCATATACATAAAGGATATTTTAAGATGAATTGGAAGATAGTATTTTCAGACCAAAGATAATTTCATAATAATCAGTTTCTAGGAAAGCCCAGTTTCTCTTTGACATTATTGCCAATTATAGCCAAACCTAGTATGAAATTTGACCCACTCAGCTACCATTCTCCTTTACTTACAATATTTATTCAAACTTCTTTAAGCATATAACTTCTACATGCCACGTGCTGTCATAGATCTCAAAATGCTAAACGTATTGACATCTAATTACTTCCATTAGAATAGGCAACATTACCTAAGAAAATAATTAGTGATGGTTTTTTGGCTTTGTAGCTGCTCAATCCTGAAGATGACCTCTTACCAGGAAAGATTCGAGACAGCAATCGGTCAACACTTCTAGCAACAATTCAGGAACATGGTTATCCCACAATCAACCTGGGAATTGTGGGAGACAAGTAAGTATAGATTTTTTTTGAAAAGTAGTTATCCTGTAATATGAATATTTAGATTATTAGAGTAGATGGAGTTGGTGCTAAAGAGAAGAACATGATTTTTATTGGTCACATTCTTCAGAAGCCTAAGAATTGTAGAGGTGCATATGAACTTAAATATTTTCTTAGAATGGGTTTTATAAAAAGAAAAATACTTTTGCTTTGATGTGCTGTGTTAAATTGAGATATTTTTTCATGTAGTTGTCTTTATCCAAGTAGAAATAAGAGTGATGATGTCATTGTTTTTCACACTTTTATTTCAAGAAAGACTTTGGAAACACAGGTGAGAAGCCTGAGAGAGACCGTCAAAACTAGTAAACCTGATTGTTTGACATTTAAGCACAGTCATTTTCCATGGACTTATACATTGATTTTGTATCCTTGTGTAACCCAAATTTCTTCCAGCTTCACCTATTTAACTGCAAAGGAGATGCAGTAACTATACCTGCCCATCTTTAAGAACACATTGCCCCTACCTAACAAATCAGTTCAGACCTTCAGTACATTCTCTAAATGTTTCTTTCAGTTTCCAATGGTGTGTCCCATAATTAAAAAAAAAAAAAAGTCTCTATTTTCTGAGCATCCCACTACTAAACAACACTGCTACTTAACCCTTTCGCAAGGCACAAATTCCTGTTCTCTAAAAGTATCACTGCTTTAATAATAATTAAACATTGACCTGGTGAAGATAAAACTAGACTCTCTGGAGTGATGGATACCAGGTACCTGACACCCATACCACTGTCTCCCTTATCACTACCTCGTCACTGGAGAAAGCTCATCAGGCATTGATCCTTTGCAATGGATCTTTGATATGGGTGCTTTAGAAGAGGCTCTGCCCTATCATTTTACAAAGTATATTCTAGTAGGTATACTATCAACCCATCCTAGATGGAGGGTGGGCACAGTCCAAACCTTAGACATAGACATTGTACGGGGAACTTTTTAAAGTTCTTCTTTCCCGAATTGTGTGGTGTGTGTGTGTGTGTTTGTGTGTCTATGAACTTATTTCCTTTTAAAAATCCACACTGTTTGTATTCATCTGGCTTTTTAAAGGCTATAGCTCATTGCCAGTATGCAAGTCACCTAGTACCAGAGACCCACCTCCTAGGAAGGGAGTGAGAAGAGCTTCACAGCAGGGGAAAGATACCCAATTCTTTGGATTTGGGCCAAGCAGTAATCTGTCCTTTAATATAAATTTCAATATTAGTTTTATATTGACATAGACATATAAAGAACACAAAAAACAACTTCTGAGAAAAGAAGTGATAGATTTAAGAGTTTTATCTGCCCAAAGATAAAGTGAGCAGAGCTCAAACTCCAGGTGACAAACTCAGCAGATTCAGTCTTAGTTCTCACTAAAGAGTGGTGCTGCCCTTACGATAAAGTGCATTAATGAACTCTTTAAGATGTGTAAAGGTTAAAAGAGCCTTTTAATTAATATTGTTAAATGTCTTAGCCATAAATTGCACTCCCCTGGCCCATAATTCTGTCCATTGTCATTTTTATTGTTGCACTTTCTGGTGCTGGTATGGTTTGATGATATTTTTAATGGGATATGTGTATGCATATGTGCATGCATGGGTGCATGTATGTTTGTGCATGTGCACGCATGTGCTATGTAGCACAGGCAAACTTCCCATTTCCAATACCACATCAGCTTCTTAAGTGTCCGGGTCATAGCAGCCAGCTTTGGGTTTTTTGACTTTGGTTTTGGTTCTCTATTTTAAGGTAGTTAGGTACTTGTTATAATATATTACTGACATTATCTTACTTACAAAGACCAGAACACCTTTAAAAGGCTCTTTTTAAAATAAAACTTTTTAAAAAGCTGGTTTGTGGAAAAGGAATGAATTGTCCTTTGTTAGGAGACTTAGAGGCTCCTGGCTGATGAGATCCTGAAGTGGGAGAGCAATTAGGAAAAATAACGTCAAGACCATGGTAGGGCCCTCCAGGGACAGAGACCTTTCATTTATTCAGATCCCAAGAACAAAGAGAATTTCAGGGTGGGAGGGTAAAGTTCCATATCATAGTAACCTAGTCAATGTGCCAGAAGTCACAGGCACTGAAAGTAAAGTTATAATTTGAGTTTGTTTCCAGCTGCAAGGAGGGAACCTACAAGAACACTGCAGAATACCTCTTGCTTTCTCAACTCTGCCGCAGAGAGCTATGGACGCAGGGGAGACTGAGGGGGGAGCCAGGAGACAGGAGAGCATCTGTGACCTAACACTGATGTTTAATTGTATAAAGTCCTTACTAAATTTGTGATAGGCATTTCCTGGTAACAGTAATGTTGATATTTAACCTCAAAGCATACACTGAAAACAGCAAAATGAACAACAAACTATAAAACCCATATAAGCAATTAAGAGAAATGTGTCACTTTGTAGTGTATATCCTTCTATTTGGTAGCAATACCTTATATAAAACTGAGAAAAGGGTTGTTTAAGTGACTGTTGCTAATACAGACTCTTTCACTCTTAGAGTGCTGTGTTAAAGAAGCCCAGAATGAATGGTTTAGAATTTAATGCTATTCTAATGGAAATCTGCACTGGGAATTTAGCAAGGAAAACAAGGTACATAACTGTACAGCTATTGATATTCTATGTAGGTTGCCTCTTCATTCTTTTTGCTGTGTATTCCCTTTTCTAATGAAAGCAAATATTGTTATACAAGAACCTCTGAGAGGATCTCGGCATGGGAGGAACCCCAGATGAGAAACAGCTCAGGAATGCTTTTGAGCACAGCACCATGCTAAGCTATGAGAGATAAGGGTATAAAGTAGTCCTCGTATCCTTGCCATTTAGAAGGCTTGAGTGTGGTTTTTAGGTTCTCTATGATTATACTTTTCAGCTCTTGTTCTTTTTTTGTTTGTTTGTTTGTTTGTTTTGTTGGTTGTTTTGGTTTGGTTTTTGTTTCTTTGTTTGTTTTTGTTTTTCAAGACAGGGTTTCTCTGTAGCTTTGGAGCCTGTCCTGGAACTAGCTCTTTCAGACCAGGTTGGCCTCGAACTCACAGAGATCCTCCTGCCTCTTTCTCCCAAGTGCTGAGATTAAAGGCGTGCACCACCACCACCTGGCTCAGCTCTTGTCCTTGTTATTTATCTTGATTTTTACAATGAATATAAACTGGAAGAGTAAGTTATAACTTTTTAAATTGAGCTTAAAAGTTCACCACGTGTATTTATTTATTTATATCTGTATGGATGTTTAGCCTGCATGTATGTCTGTACAGCATGTATGCCTAGCACTGTAGAAGCCAAAGAGGGCATCACATCCCTACTTGTGAGCTGCCATGTGAGTGCTAGGAACCAAACCTGAATCTTCTGGAAAAGCAGCCAGTGCTCTTAACTGTGGAGCCATTTCTTCAGCCTATAAAGTTTGCTTTTGTGTGGGTGTGGGTGTACCTTTTGTTTAAAAAATTATGATGAGTTAATAAGTGAGAATTATAAGAGGAAGACTTCAAATACCTGAGAGTTAACTTTATTTTTTGAATGTTCATTTAGAAATAATAAGTTTATATTAAAATACATTTCCTCTATTCTTCTCACACTGTATAAAGTACCATACATTGGCATTTCTGGGGTTTTTGTTTTGCTTTCTTCTTTTAAAAGTCTAATTTTGAAACCCAGATATGTTAAGGAATTTATCTGACATTATAAAACTAGTTAGTGCAGAGGCAGAAGTAAAACCTAAATTTCTTGAGATTAATAATGATTTTGCTATGATTTTGAAGACATGTAATAAAAATATGTCGAAGAGTTGTAGCATCTCTAAGCTTAGGTAGTCAGAACAAGTTTTATAAAGAATTTGAAGGATTAATAGAATCTAGCTAGGAAAAGATGATAGGTTAATCCAAATAAGAAACATAAAATTTGCAGTAATAGGCCAGACTAATTAGAACAAAAGGTTGGGTTGGAAGAATACACATAAATTTGGTAAATATTTGAGGTTGGGTTTTTAGGCAAGGTAGAGTTGCCCATATCAACTGAATTTGAAGCTTTTTCTAACAGACGAAGTTATATAATAAGTCATTATTTTATAAAACAGTTGACTGCATGGACTAATGACTGAGGGAGACTTTGGTCAGTCACCAGGAAACACGTGCTGTATATAGGTATAATGAATCAGCTGAAGTGGGCTAAGACCTCATCTTTGTAACTGTATAAAGTGAGACCATGACTGCTCTAAGGTGTGGCTGAGGGAATTTTTTATTATTATTATTGTGGAGATGAGGGAGAGAACAGCCAGAAGCTTCTGGAAGAGTCCAGAGCAGGGATAGAAAGTAGTAGACTGAACATGTCCAGCAGACTGGTATAGTCATAAGAGGAGCGAGTATTGAAGAATGAGAGAGGAAGAGAAAAAAGCAACCAAGAGAGGGGCAAAAGAGGGAGAAAGAGAGGAAGACTAAAGAGAGAGCATAGCTGAAATAGCAGTTATAGGAATGAGAAGCTGGAGGGTGAGGCTTCTGAGCCAGAGCAGTTTAGGGTAAGGAAGAAGATAAGGAAAGCTAGGTACTTGTGATATACTGAGGGAGCCTGGAGGCCAGCATGTGCTTTGGTACGCCAGTGGGTGTCCAGAGAGCCTTTGTCCCTTGTGACAGTGAGAAGGAAATGGTAGAGAGGAATGAGCACCAGAATTGGGGAGTGTGGAGTTTCCTTTGTACTCATCACTAACTGAGTTCTAGGTGACCCTAAGCTGCTGGTTCATGGGTCACAGAAAGTAGCAATAATGCGTTAAATTCAGTGAGTGCCCTGTGAGCTTTAAATAAATTGTTAATGAAAATACAGAAGAGAGAGAGAGAGAGAGAGAGAGAGAGAGAGAGAGAGAGACAGAGAGAGACAGAGAGAGACAGAGAGAGACAGAGAGAGAGATCTTAGCACTGAGGAATTATAGCCTAATAATAAAAATACTTCCAAACATTCCAGCTCTGAAACTCAGATTTCAAAAGTAGAAATCAGGAGAAA